CTCGTGCCTCAGTGCCATTCCTTTGCCCTCATCTGGGCTGACACACCTAAAGCCCAGCACTTTTATTCCTGTTCCAGGTGTGGCTCAGCCTGCCGGCTGCCTCCTCGGCTCTCCCCATCTTCATCCATCCCTGTCCTGCCTCACTGCCCTCGCCACACGTCCTCAAATGCAGTTAAGTTTTAATTTGTAATCACTGCTACATGACTTGGTGTTTTCCATCAGCGTAGCCAAGTCACCGGTAACGTAGCTGTCTGACATGTGATTTGTATACCCGTCTCAACAGGAAATTTTAAACGCTTTTTATCACTTTCATCCTTCCCCCTCCTACCAAAACACTTGTGCGCAATTTCGTATGTTATGCAGAAAGTATAATTTAAAATGTGCGCTAACCTGCTTCTCCTCATTCAGCCACAGGTTTGGTCTTTATGATGGTGGCAGCATTTCCCAATATTAGGCTTTGTTTGCACTGATTCTCTGTGCATGGATGCTTTGGTCCTGGGCTGTGGTTTCTTTGCCTAAACAATGTGGTAGTCTAAGACCTCAACTTCCTACTGCAGAAATGACATGTTTTTGTAGGTGCTGGTTTGTCTTCTTAGCAACAGTAGTTGCCAGAAACAACAGAGATGGAGCAAGCTGAGAAGTTGTGCTGCTCTAATGACATTTGCCTCTGAAAGATAGTCAGTGAAGATGCACTGTAAAAAGTGAGCAGCAATACAGTGTTATTAGTTAAACCACAGGTACAATTGCCACAGCTCATTTCTAAAGGGACCTCTGGTTTTGAAAATACAATCATAAGTTTTAGTGGTATGTTTGAATTTGTTGAAGTGAATTCAGTAAAGTTGGTAGATATCTATGTATTTTCATTTGTTCCTAGAATGGTACTTGGGGATGAAATACGATGCAGACTTTAATACATGGTCCTTTTAAAAAAACATACTTCAGGTAGCTATGACTTCAGGATGCAACACTTTACTGGGTTGTGAATTTCTGACACATTTATATTTTTTTTGCATTGTAGGGGAAAAAAAAAAAAGATCTGCTTACTAACCACTTCCACTGGACTCTGTCCTGAGACAGAATCCCTCAAGAGAATACATAGTGCTAACTATGAGCTGCTGCTCTTCTGTGCTGGGGAAATCTGAAGATCATAGTTGTGAGTTACATACTACTGGTAGCAAGGGCACTGTGCCAAGGCAATGGGTGTTACGTGGGGCTTTGACCTCAGGAGCTTGGGTCAGCTGGAAGGGTCATTCCAAGGGAGAAGGTACTGTATTTGCTTTTCCTCTGATACAACTTACGAAAATTTCCCTTTGCAGGCTGTACCTCATCAACCTCTCTCAAAATCTCAGAATCATGGCTGGAAGGTGAACTGCAAACCCCTCAATTTACCTCAGGGAGCTTAGCTTGGCAGGAGGAACACTGCCTTGCTTGTGGGAAGCCCAGGTTTGGTCTGTAATTTGATCTGTGGTCATCCTGACAGTGGAAATTTCATTACTGCAGAAGTGCATTTTATTAAATTTCTATAAAGAAGATTGGCAGAAGATGCTGTACATTTATCAAGGCAGCTTTCTGCATGCATTGATGAAATGATGGACATATGATCAGTTATACTCGTTATTTGCTTTACTGATAACTGTAAAATGTTGAGGTGAAATTGTAAAAGCAGTCAGAGAATGTCATCATTTTTATTGCACAGTTTCAATGCTTATAGCAGGAAATGTAGAGTGAGTGACAATTCAGCCTGGTAACAGGCTGTAAATAGATCAATAGAGCAGATTACTTCAGTTTTTACAGAAGTTGCAAGTACTGTAGAGAGATAGCGGGATCATGGTTTGTAAACCTTAAACCACACTTTCCTGCACAACAATCTGCACAGATAATTCTTTTTTTGTAAAGCAGGTATGTGATTTTTCAGCTGCAAGGAACTTCCTCTTTCTTCAGAAGGACTAAATAAATGTTGTTTCTGAGAACGTGCATGCTGCTGTTGCCTTCTCATTTGCACTTGAGTGATCAAGTGTTCTAGTAAGTGAAGGGGTTGTCATGAGCCATTTTGTGACTCTTTGTGTTTTTGATGTCCGACTTCAGCCAACAGAAGTGGAGACCCTGGATCTTTTGAGGAATTGTCCGGTGTGCAAATGGGACCTACGGAAGAAAGACCCCAGAATGCTACCTTGCCTTCATTCCTTCTGTAAGGACTGTCTTCCGGATTTGATTCAAGCATATAGCTGTATTCCCACTGAGTTTGGAGTTCTGTACGAAGGTAATATTTAAGCATCTCTGGCTTGTTCTTTTTGTATTACAGTATTATAAAAATAGATGGATTGAGAGGTACTTTTTGTAGCCTATTCCCTCACTACTTTAAAAAAATAGGCTAGGAGGCTCAAGATTTGTATGGTCAGTGTGTGGATTGGGAACAAGCCTATGTTTATCATTGAACATCAATGTTTTGAAGAAATAACACAGGCGACATTTAACATTTTCCAAAGTGGACTGTCACATTTACTGAGTATGACGTAATGAATATTTGATTTGGTTAGCTTAATAAATGAATAAATGCTCCACCATAATTTCTGGACTGCGTCTTTATCCAGTCTTTTAGACATGTTGGACCTTTCTAAGGCACTTGTGGTGACAGTTTTACTTCTCCCTTTCTGTGACCTGCTCCCCTTCTCCCCAGAAAAATCAGTTTCTTTGTTCCTCACAGAGGTCATAATAATTGTTATTAGACTATGTGGGTTATGGTGCACTGAAATTTTGTCTCATTGTAAATGGAGTTTCTCTCTATCTGAATCCGTTTGATTGTAGGGTAATCTGTAAGTCACCCTAATAAACTGATGAAGATGAGAAATCCTCATGAGGATGAGAAACACTTCGTGACTGTGGCTTTTGAAATCCTGAAATTATTTGTACAGTTTTAGGTAGTGATGTTAATTGAAAATACCTAACTTTTTTGGAATAAGACCAGGCTTACATCACAGAATACAGTCATTTTAACTGAATGAGTCGTAATTGCCATGGGGAAGCACTCCAGCCTCATTACTAATGTATAAAAAGAGCAAAGGCATGTAGATTATTTGTATTTTCACAGGCTTTGAACTTCAGATGATTAAGAGGCACCATTTTATCTCTTCCACAGCAGATTTTAGAAACATGTAGGAAGAGGGGACACCTTCCCTGAGCTGATGGTGAGTTGATGAGGGAACATAAACTAGACAAGTTCAGGTTTGAGAACGAATGGAAACACTGTTAAGAGATCACTGCTGAAAGGCTAGCAAAATACTAAAGATAAATGGAAACGGGAGTAACTTAATGGCAAAGGAGAAAGGCTATTCCTGCATAGGGTACAGGCAGAAAAAAAATACAAAGGTAAGAGAAGACAAAGAGCAAAGTAGTCATTTCAAGTTGAACATTTAAAAATTTGTAATGCCCAATTATTGTGGGTTTAAAGGCTGAGGGACCTGCTTTATCATAAACTACTTTTAAAAAACAACCACTCCATTACTTTTTATGTATTCTCATTTGACATTGAAGTCATTCCTTTCTTCTCCTTTCTTCTGTTTGCCAAGGGGAAAAATGAATTTTTACCACTTGATGATCATTGACAAAGTACAGCTAGAGGTTCTCATGAGCTGTTACAACAGCAGTTATTTCTCCAAGCTCCCAAGTGGATCAGGAGTCATTTGTCTATAGCAAAGTGGAGCTAATACTAGTTTATTTCTGTATTCTTGAAGTTTCTCTATTTATGTCCTCGTGGTCTCGTAGATAGGGAATTTCTCGGGGAAAGAGCAAGGCTGGAGAAAAGAAATAATGAACTGTGATGACACAGTAAATGAAGTAAGACATCAAGTGCAGAGACTCAGTTAACATATGGGCAAGGAGAGTAGCAAAGCCAAAACATCCGTGTCTCTTGTTTAAGTCAGTTATTGAAACTGGAACCACCATAGGTCAGCCAGGATAAATTTGTGAAGTCTTCTGATGACATGATACTAAATGTTTCTTGTCTTATCTGCACCAATTGCTCAGGTATGGGCAGTAGAATACCAACTCAATTTTCAGTGTGCTTAAACACCTGGCAGATTTTATGTCCAGATTTGTAAATTGTTGTGGGAAGTTGTAGATTTAATTGTTATCATGCTTTTGTATAGAACTGTGTGTCAGGCTATTTTTTCTGAAATTCTATTTTAAAAACACACTTTGCCATTTTGTGCTTTTCTAATTTGGATAACAAAAATAGTGAAAAATTACTGTATAATTTCTATCCCTATTCTGCGCATAAGTGAAAAACTGTCGCTACGTGTTATGTTAGCTTCTGATATACCAGAGAGGGTCTGAGATTCTCACTTAAATGCCAGGAAGTGTAATTTATGTATTAGAGAAATGCAAACTAATCAGATAATACTAAGAGAAAATGGATTATTAAAGAGAACAAATATGATTTCAACTGTTGGCAGATGTCCATTTGCTGCATTTTATTATTTCCAGCTGAAAATACACAGTTTTCCTCAACATGTAAGATAGGTGCCGTATATAGCCATGGTTCCCCACTTGTGAACACTCGTTAGTGAGGCACACCCAAAACTCAGCTGGGCATTGGTCACCTTTGCATTTAGTGTGTTCAGCGTTATCTTCAAAGGGGTTTATTTCAAGAAAAAGGTTGAGCTCTAGGAAGCCTTTGGCTCTAGGTTCATATTCAGTATGATGTTTCGGCATAAGAGGTATGGTGTACTGGCTTAAGGAGACTTCAGATGTCAACACACATTGCCTTATCTTGTACTATGTATGTAAAAAAAATAAATAAAACCCACATCTACAGAGTTCTTTAAACCATACTTAGCTGTTAGATCTCCAGGACCCAGATAACCTCATTTTGATGCAATCATGTAAGGCAAGTGATGCAATGCATCACCTCTGTTGATTCTGAGGAGAGTACCCAGTTGCTTTAATTAGCTTCATTTACACCAAATACATGTTTTGTTTCTAAAAAGGGAGGCAGAAAGGTAATTCTAAAGGGACAAACTGTTCATAATATATATATTTACTCATCTTAAAATGGATTTAACCTTAGTCAGCCCTTCTCACTCCGTTGTCCAGCTGACAGATCCAAAAGGCAAGTGAAACAATGACAGGCTTAGTGATATAAATATGAAGCTGTAGAGTGGGAGGTTGTCTTCAGAACTGTTTCCTATAATCTATAATTGGGTCTCCAAGGAAGTGTAAATTATGTCTGCAGCTTGAGCTCTAGCTAATGCTCTCTGAGAATAATTATTCTGATGCTGATGGCTGTTGGAGGAAAATGGGCGGAGGAATAGGTGCAACATGTGGACATAAATGTGGTGTATATGATAGCTCCACTGTTTGTTTCTTTATGCTGATCAATTCTCATGGTAATAATAGGTTAATTAACTGTATTGATTTATTTCTGAGACAACTAGCTTGAGAGTTCTTCCTATTTAAACGTGACCATACTGGAAGACCTTGAAACAAAACCAGGAGCTGTGGCTTTTGATGTTCAAAAGGTCTTTGGACTCAGTTTCCATATGTGGTGGAGAGGTTACAGTTGGCACTTACAGAGGTGATCACTGCAAATTATCCACAGCTCTGTCACAAATTAGATTGTTCCAATATAGGTGGAGTAAGAAGTTGAGAAATGTTAGTTGTTTCTTTATTTGTGCTTCTGCAAAGGAACACTATATGAGGATCACTACCTTGATGTCTGCTTACTCTTCCCTGGGTCCAATGCAGTGTGGCAACTTTCATTGACACAAATAAAGTGCTGTGGGATGTGAGAGATCTGACCTTTGTGGAACTAGAACTTGAACGGTATATGGAAAAACCTGGTTTGGTTTGTGTTTTTTTTTTTTTCTGAAAGCTGATATTGGATAGTATATGGAAAAACCTGGTTTGGTTTGGTTTTTTTTTTTTTTTCTGAAAGCTGATATTGGATATCCCAGGTGTGGAGTTGGAGAGTCCAGACCGGGTATCTGTGTTTGACTATTGTAGTTACTGGCCTGAATTTCCATTTTTCCCAACCTCCTCTCTAGTTACTATTGCTGATGGGTGTGCAAGAGTGGAAATAAACACAAGGCTTATGTGAAAGGGCTGCAAACCAATTCAGCAAAGTAAACACCTGCTGCTGAAGCTTTTCAGGGCTCAAGAAATATGTATGTATATAATCATAACACACACAGAGAGTTATGTTTGTACACGTTATAATCATAACACACACAGAGTTACGTTTGTACACATGTTGCTTTCTAGTGCTGATGGCTGTTCTGGAGGTGTTCAGGTGCCTTAGCCTGCTACAGATGGTCGTTAAACAAGTAGTGGAGCCCTGGAAGGATGTAGGTGTAGGAATACTTCTCTCCAGCTCTCACAGGGTGAAACTTTGTGGGAATCTGTTTGATACAATGTGGTCTTCAGTGATTGTTCAGTAGTAGCTGATAAATCAAATACTCAAATACACTGAGAATAGCTTATATGTGGTTTATCCTGCATATAATTTTGAAATAGGGTTATATTCTATCACAGTGAAAGGGGGCTTAAATCCAACCTTGGGATCTTTGCTAGCCTTTCTAAATTCATGGTCATCTCTTTAGCAATGGAAGGTGATGACATAAACGATTTCAAATGATAAACAGCAGGAGGTAATGAACTTCTGAAAAATAATTAATGCAAATCTTCCTACCTCCTTCCTACCAATATAATTTCCATATAAAAATAGAGCACAACAACAGCTCTCCTTTTGCTTTTTGCTACTGCTAGAGGTTTTGATAACAATAATGGACTTCATCTGGGCATCTTGATTGCACCATAGCTGAATTTGGCTCCCAATCTCTTAATATGTAAACTGTTGTTTGAATCCTGTAATTCCATGTTGAATTGCTATCTAGATCCAGAAATTGCATCATTCTCATATGTACAAACAGTGAGTCTCTAGGGCTTCTGACTATTCTTCCTGTCACCCACAGTGCTGTAATAAGGATATATTTAAATGAACTGTCTGCAAAATACAGGTTCTTAAAACAAATTAGCGATGTTTTTTACAGATAGAGATAAGGTAGGAAGGTGAGAAGAATATTCAGGGAACGATCTGCAAAACGTACAGTGGGAGTGAATGGCATTGTAAGACCTGCTGCTACCTGGATCTGGAAAAGCTCTTCTCTTTCCTTCTACACGCTTGCTCCATGTTATTCTGAGGACTGAGAGAAGACCCAGGCAAGAAGGGAAGTAGATACTGCTATTCATTCTCACTATGGGATTTTTATTCCACTGCTTCAGGAAAAATACAACCGAGGCAAGTTAACAGAAGCATGAATGAATCTGAGAGGCAGTGGCAAGAAAGAAGGCAAGAGGAAAAAAAGACATGCACGTTGTAGTGGCCCAGTACCTCTTTCTGCCCTGCTGATTTGTCAGCATTTCTGGCTGAAGTAGAGGGCAACCCTAGATAATCTGTGAAAAGTGTAGTGACTTCAGTCTGCAGTGTGGTAAAGCCTGAACTCCAGGGAATTCAGAACTGCATATGTAGTTCTGCTTAATATCTACCCGCTCTCTGACACAAGTGACTTTGTGCGTCGCTCTCTAAGTGACTGTTTATCCAGAGGACAGGTAAGGAGCTTCTAGGAAATTATATTTTGCTTATGATTTGCATTCTAAGCACAAACAGGGTGTTGTGTGCTTACTTTGTATTGTTGAAGAAACTGTTAATTCTGTCTATTTGTAAATATGTATATATTGCTTAATTTCAGGGTAATTGTTTCACAAAATATTCTGTATTTATTATGCCAAGTTACCATTAGATTCTTTTGGGAGTTTATATTGAAAAAAAGTTGGGCATTTCCAGGGAGCACAGTTTTTTATTAAATAGAAAAGGAATCAAATCAGAAGCCAAATTAGCTGAACCAGTATTATCTCTGAAGCTACCACATTCCAGGAATCCCTCTTTTAGCAAGATGCAAATCCATCTCCTGTGCTTTTGATAAAGTCTTAAATGTGGAATTCACTATTGGGACAGGTGAGAAAAAGCTTACTGATTAGTCCTCCTACAAGTGGGAGACTTCCAGTACACTATCTCTATGGTGTCCCCTTCCTGTTAACTGTTATGCTCATTTTTCTGATTTTTTTATTAAGCTAAGGGCTATACATGTCTTATGTTCATCTTAAGGGAATTTTACATTTGAAGTTGTTATAATTCACGGTCACTTGGATATTTAAGATACATTTTGACATCTACACTATCAAACCTGTAGTAGTGAGTCTAATACAAAGTTCTGGCCTGTGTGTATGTGTGACTCACTCCACATGTATCTGTGGAATTAAACTGATTTCACTAGAGTAACATGGATCTAAAACCTGGGAAAAAAATTATACTATGGCATTCTAAGGAATAGCTGTGTGAGTCTTGGATGTCTTGCCTCAGAAAGTAACCTGTTGATAGTTTTCCCTTTGGACAATTTGTGATGTATTATGTAGTCTCAGTATGAGGGTTTTCTCTCTGTATTAGTCAGATCAAGAACTGGCACTGCTTGGGCAATGCTGTTACGGGAGCAAGAAACTGATTCAAAGCACCAAAGGGCTAGATGTGATTCCCTCTAGTCAGTAGCTGGTTTCCTACCAACTGAACCAAGAATTAGAGCATGTCCCATGAGACCTATCTGAGAAGCTGCTTGCAAAAGCTTCCTAGCTTATCAATCAAAATGTATATTTTTATTTCTTCTGCTGTTATAACTCTGTTGGTTTGTAAGATGTTCGCAGGGAAACTTGAAAACCATTTCTCCTTCTAGGAATTAGGACTACAATTCACTTCTGCTGGTAGCATGCACCATTTACGAGGCGCAGGGGGGCACTGTCCCTGTAACACATCTTGCCTTAGTACTGCAGTGCTCCTGCTTTTTTACATTTCTCTAGAGAACCGAGCTGTTATAGGATATGTAAAAGACACACATCTGTAATTTGGGAAAGCGTAAAGAGATTTCAGTGTGACTAATATAAAGGCATTCTGTTGTCCTAGGGTGTAACATATGAAAGTGATTGGCTACAAATATTGTGGGTAAATAAGATATCTTTCAGCTGTTCTCATTATATTAAGGATGCAAAGTACAACAAGAATTTAAAAAACTTCTACAGCTTTTTGTCATCACAGACATCTTTATCAGATGAATTTTTACCCTCTTTGTAACTCCTGTCACCAGAACATGCTTAAACAAAACTCAAGGTACATGCCAAGAGAATGAGCAAAGTGCTGGCAATTGCTTGTGTTGCCCTTTTCCCAGGGGTGACTTGAGCTGAGTAGCGCAGGCACCTGTGGATATTGCCTGTTCCTTCTCACGCCCACATGAACATTCAGCGTTGTGTGAAATGCGCAGTTAAATAATTGTGAGGTAGACTATAGGCTGCCCCCAAATCACAGTTCTGTTGTAAATGCAGCCTCAGAAAATAGTTAACAGATACAACAGAACTCAGAGTTTCTTCAAAACAGTTATGGATGAAAGTGAATGTGTTCAGACGTGTGGCTGCGTAGTGCTTTTGTCAGAAATGGTAGTGTAGGAAGGGTTTGGGGTTTGTGTGTCTCTGTCAATGTAAAGAGCTGCTGTTAAAATAACAGTAGCCCAGTTCTGAACATGGGAGACACTCAGGGTTAGAATTCTGCACCTGGCCAGGGACAGCGGTCGCCATGTCCCAAGGGCAGGTAACACAAAGCTCCTAGAAAATGGGATGAGTGATAGACATCTTAAGTTCTAATTAACCTACAGGCCACTCTACTTATGCAAAAATAATTTTAGTTCAGGAGAAAATCACATTGAACAGTCAGTCCAGTAGAAAGTTGTCATTGATCTCACTTTTAACATCTTGCTTTGAGTTTGCGTCATTTAGTCATGGAAAATACTGGTACTAGTTATCATAAACAGATCACTTGGCAAGGTGAGCATAGCACTAAAATTCTGTTCTCAACAGAATGGAAAAATTTAATTAAAAAAAAAGTCTTGATAAGATAAGGTAAAAATAGAGTGGCACACTACTATCTCTGAAGCACTGGATTCACATCTACAGTAGTTTGCACATATGTGGTCAGAAACATGCGCACTCCTTTAAAAAAAATAAAGAAAGACATTAGACCTTCTAGAAAAATGTAAGTCCTAGCCCAAGAAATATAGGAATGAAATAGCAGAGATGCAAAAATGCAGATACACAGTTATGGACGCCTTCTTGAAGTCTTAGTTCTCAGCCCAGTCAAACGCTAAGGTTCATCCCAGTTGTGCTCAGTAGCTAATGAAGGTGGAGCCAGGTTTTTTCTCATGCTGCTCGCTTTGCTTTGCTTTAGGAGTGATCATGTTTTGCCTCCTGTGGATTCGTAACAGATGATTTGCAATTCTGAATTTAATTTATGATTTTTTTTTTGTCCTTTACCTTTATTCTGACTTGCTGCTTCTGCTAGCAGCATGTTACTCCTTTTTCATTTCACTGGGATGGCCTGCTGCACTGTAAAACTAGTATTAGGCAATGTGTGTTTTATGCTTTGATATACCTCTGGCAATGTAAAACTGGTCTAGAACTGTAGGAAGTACCAGAAAGCAAAAGCATATCTGCAACAAGGGAATACAGTTTAAAGTTACACTGTTTTGTGTGGCTCAGTTTTTGTCAAAGTTGTAAGCCCTAATGAATTCATGGGAATTTGAAAATCATTGACAAATACTGAAATAACTCAACTGAACTATACCGTATTTCTAGGGATTTTGTTGCTTTGTTTTTCTTTTCTATCTGTTGAACTAGATCTACCCACAAGTAACACGTGACTTGAAGAATGCCTTAGCTTCCTGGAACTAAGTATGTCCATGTGATGTAAAAATATGAGCAATAGTGAAGTGTGGTTTATATAATTTCCTGGTTCATATAGCTGGTGTGCAATGTTTTATTTGTGGTGGGTTTGTTTGTTTTTTTTAAATTTCAGGTATCCTTTCCTGCCCTGTGTGCAAACAGAGCTGTTTTGCAAGGGATGTAGTTGAAAATTTCTTTCTCAAGGACATTCCCACTGGTGATTCAGCTATGGCAAAAGTAAGTGAAAACCACTAAGTTGTGTGTCTTTTGTGTTGTTGAAACACTACCAGATGAATACTGTTTGAAAACAGAGCAAATTCTTATTGAACAACAGATTCTCTTACAGTTTGCTAGTGCAACACTGTAATTACTTCACTTTTAGAAGTGGACATACTGCTTTCATAATACTTTTTAAACTTTATTTGAAGAATAAAATTGGCTCTATGTACTTAAATTAGAATTGATTAAAATATTGTTAGTGATGTAGGACTGGATCTGTGACAATCAATGTATTAGGAAGATAGTGAATCTCTTGGATTCCTCACTGTCACCTTTCTGCTCTTAAAGTAAACAGAAGCAGACTGTTGGCTGAATGGTTACCCATTAGATCCTGTGGGCAATTATAATTTTCTGCTTGTCTGTTTTAATTGTTAAAAAAGATTAGATCATATTTCAGCTCACTGTCCCCTTTCTGCTCTTAACACAAAGTAAACAGAAGCAGACTGTTGGCTGAATGGTTACCCATTAGATCCTGTGGGCAATTATAATTTTCTGATTGTCTGTTTTAATTGTTAAAAAAGATTAGATCATATTTCAGTTTCCTATTGAGGAGTGGATGCAAAAGGTAATTGGAAGGCATAAGATTGCTATATTGGCCTTGTATTGACAGTGTACATAGATGGATTTCACTTGTGTTAAATACTCAGTTAAAGGGCAGGCCCGTTCTTACAGTTTTTTAGTTGTTACTAATTTAAGTCATGAGGAGGGACAGGGAAACATGTATTTCTGCCCCCTATGTTACCAAACAATATTCTATTATTTACGTGAATAAAATTGAATTCAGAATGTGGTAGTTTTACCTGTTGCTGGGAGTTAAAGCAGATGAAAACTTGTCACAACTGTGCTGTAATCTGCTGACTGCTTTATCCAAAATGTGATCCAAAGCAAGGGAATCATAGAATGGTTGGAAGGGACCTTCAAAATCATCTAGTTCCAACACAGAAAAACTATTAAAATGAAAAGAATGTTTAACCTAATCCATGGGCTGTTCTGGGGTAATTATAAAACTAATGCAAGCAAAGTGTGTTGACATCTTCAAGTGTGAGATGCTTGAAGAGTGCAGCATAACTTGATCTAAGACAGGAAGGGATCTATTCACAACTCTCTTCAAAGAGAAGAAGAAAATTCTTAAGATATTGCTGAATCTTTAGAATGCACTTATTATACTGCGATTTCTTAATTACTGTGACTCACATCACTTACCTTTCAATGAGAGTTTGTGTAGAAAGGAAATAAAATGAGAATATCTAACATCTTCAAAAGCACTAGATTATTTTTTCAAACCATCTTTAAAAGGAGGTTTTTCTGTTTTGCAGTCACCTAGGAGTCATAAGAGCAGTTCAATAAAGCATATTTCTTACTGGAGCACAGGAGTACCCTAGAGAGTCTCACAAACCTTCCTCGTAGTTTTTTGCTTACTTCTTTTTTATTAACAGTCAAGTCATGTGTCAGTGAAGCTTACTTAGAGATCTGTTGTGAAATTCCAGCCCCAGTGAAGACAATGGTAAAATTTAAATCGATTTCAGCAGTACAAAAATTTTTCTTCTTTTGCTGAAGCGAATCAGCACTGACTCATTCGCATCTCAGAATTTAGGTGGATATAGATGTTTCACTTAATGTTAAAGCCATGATTTAAAACAGATAACCAGCAAAAAACTGTGATTGCTCTTCCTTCAGGCTTTCAGTTTCCTGAGACACCATTAAGAAAATTCTTCTATTAAAGTCACTAGGGCTTGCATCATAGATGGGCTATATTTGACGCTTCAACATTTCATACATTTACTTGTTAAATGTATGATTCTGTGGTTGAAAAGTATCTATCTATCTAAATATGTATATGTGAAAGTAAGATGTGCGCTCATTTGATGTGTTAAGATTGCAAAACATACCACCCATTTTCAAAAGTAACCTTTAACCTACCCCTGCTAACTGAAATCAGACAAGTCTTATTTCAGAGTTTCATAGCTTTTTCGGTTCACAGGAAGCAAATCTTTATGATTATTTTTTCTGACTTCGTGTGTACAATAGAGCCTAGAGTTTTACTGAATAATTCTTGCATCATGTCACAGTTGTACTGGATTGTGCTAGAGCTCAGAAAGACAACCAATTTCTTTTAAGAGCTAACAGTGTTACCTATATATAGTAACAGTAACCAGACTCCTAAACAGTAACCAGACTTCTAAAATCACCTGAATTGCATTAGTCTGGGGAAGAAAAATATTAAGCTTACCAATATGAACTGCAGTCTCTTAAAGGTAACAGTTTGTTTGGCTAAGTTGTTATCCTTGTACGTAATTGTACTATTTGTTCTTAGAGCTGCTCCATGTGTAAGGAGAAGAGACCTGCTCACAGTCTCTGTACAAGCTGCAATAAGTGGTTGTGCAGCTCATGTACAGAGGAACACAGGCATGGCAAGGAAACCGGAGACCGCTTCCTGGCTGTATCCCTGAAGGGCTGCACAGGTACTGAAGGCACACTTTGAAATTGTGTTTCTTCTTGTCTCAGTTATTCAGCTGGAAAAGGAGCAGTCGCAGGCACTCTGCCACAGACGCCATGCTCCGTTGAGTGTGACTCAGAAGAATATGGATGTGTCAGTGACAGATTATGTGAATTTTCTGTAACTTTAGGGCCACAATCAGTATTCCACAATATTGGAAAAAATGTTGGATACTCGTGTTTCAGAGACATGATGTGCTGTTGCCAAATGGACTGTAAACAAATAAAAAGTCTGTAAGAGTTGTAATAATCAAAAGGCACAGATGACATTTAAGTGTTTTCTGGGTCTTCTGTAGAGAATAATATAAACTGAAGTTCTCCCAGCCCCCCCCCTCAGATGCCCTGATTGGATGGGCAATATGTTTTTCTTCTTGAGTTGATCACAAGATAAGGACTGTGGTTTTGAGGCTCCAACTGTTTAAAATTTAATTGCATTTTTGAGTAAGATTACTAGCTCATATTGTTGACAAATAATGGTAAGAAAATATACCTGTGGCTTAGTTGTGGTTTTGTGTGTGCTGTATAAGTAAAAAGATGCAAACACATAAACTAGAATGCTTTCTCATCTTTTTAGTCCTAAATTCTGTGTGCTGAAAAAATACATTTACGAGGTGATTGGCGGTGTGTAGGCCCTTGTAACCATTAAGAGACTCTCTATCCCATTGGTCTTGCACCTTTACTCTGCACATCCTCTTGCTTCCTTTCTCGGCCATCAACTGCTTGCTGGGTGAGACCCAGCTCACACAGCTGGACAGCTGAGCTGGCTGCCAGGTAGCACCCTTAGCCTTGTGACTCCCGAGGTCATGGTGCAGACTAGTGTACCAAATTCATGTGATTTTTGAGAACTTTACGCTTCATTCAAATTTGTATTTAGAAGTTAAGTATGTGGGGAGGAGCAGCACAAGGCTGGGACAGAAAAACGCCATGTTGTATAAGAAGAAAACAATTTTAGAGTAGCCTAATTTCTTTTTCCTACTGACTCATCCTTTGACGCTCAGTTTGTAGGATGTATAAGGCCAGAAAAAGAACACAACAAACCCTGCTTCATATAATCAGATGGTTCTAAGGTCTGCATCTTTTAAAAGTAACATTAAGCCTTTCAATAACATTGTGAGAGTTTGACAACTTGTTTTCTAAACTGTTATAGTAATCGTTGTTAAGGACACCATTGCTTTATATTCCTCAGCAACGGAAGATGAAGCAAGGGAGTTTTCCTTGTTTTGTCCAGTGCACATTCAAGAGCCACTCAAACTGTTTTGTGAGACCTGTGATACCCTTACGTGCCGCAGCTGCCTTCTGACGGAGCATAAGGAACACAGGTACCACACATTGATTGTTTAATCATAATCCTGACTAAAACTGTGGCTAATTTAGATTTAAGACCGTTTGTCTGCATTTGCTGTCAGCTGAAGTTGCACGCTAGTCCAAACTTAAAAGCCAGAGCAAACTCAGTTCAGTTGTCTTATGCCCAAGCGGTGTAACAGGAATTCCTGCCCTCGCAGAAGCACTCACTGCTCTCAGCAGCATGTACCTTCCCAGTTGTATTGTCTGCCCAGATATTATATATGTGTGCATGTAGTTCCTCGTTATTGTGCTCAGAGGCACAAGTGAAACTTAATAATTAGCATGGTTCAAACACTTATGTTTGTCTTTGTCAAAGACATCATGACCGTGCAAGGCCAGAATTACCAACGCTTAAGAATGCTGCTTGCCTGTAGAAGTGTGTGAGACGTGTAAGGAATTGTCTATACATTGACACTTTTTGTGAGATGAGCCTGCCTATATGAGGGGTGGTAGCTGTTGCAGAGAACATCCGTAGTAGAAAAGAAACAAGGGACCATGTCCAGACAGATATTAAGACAGCTGTTCCTCCAAACTTATCACCTCATAAGTTGATTACTTTATCAACAGAAAAAAACCTGAGAACTTCCTCTGCTTTCACAGGTTCAGACATCTTGATGAAGCCTTGCAAAATCAGAGAGTTATCCTGGAAAATGTCATAACTAAAGTGGAAGAGAAAAAAAATGGGATTCAAGTTACAGCTAAACAGATTGAAGACAGGTAATTGCTATGCATTCTTTTCATGGAAGTGGGTGATGAGTAAAAATGTTATTTTCACTAAATGTAGGTTAATAGAAGTAAATACAGATTTTTTTTTTCTTGGAGGGTAGAAAATAATAGGAAGATTAAAAATATCAAATTCATGTTTAAGTGGTACTGACAAGTCATAGCATTGTAATAGATGTTTCCATAGTTCTTATAAGGCATGTGACAGCTGACTCTGGAGTTAAGATTTCTTTGAATAATCCGTTTCTGAACAATAATTTGTAAATATTAGAATTAAGGACTATTTTTAAAATACGTTATTTCTTAAAGAAACCTCTAAACAGACTGCAATTCCAGTCTGAACTAGTATAAAAATGAAGATATTTCATTATATGAACTGGATTTTGGCTACTGATTATGTATTTGTTAGCTATTGGATCTCTCTTCTGCCTTAATAATAATGTTTCAAAGACCTTGAAAGAGTACAAAGCTGTATTATTTAGTATAAAGTGAAGTTTTTTGGATATGGCTTCTGTGCGTGTTCATGAACACAATATTTGAAAGAGTCAGTTGATGTTAGCATGTCAATTCGAGAGAGCAGTGGTCAATGGCTCAGTCTCCAGGTGCAGTTTGGTAACAAGCAGTGTCCCTCAGGGGTCTGTACTGGGACCAGTACTGTTTAGACAAGTCTGTGGGGCCAGATGGGTTCCACCCAAGAGTGCTGAAGGAGTTACCAGATGTGCTCACCAAACCACTTTTCATAGTTTATCAGCAGTCCTGGCTAACTGGGGAGGTCCCAATGGACCCCTGGAAACATTCA